ACTCCTAGGCAAGTGTGCACAGACTAACAGCCTAGAAAAAGCTTTGAAGAAAAAAATGGTAAGCAATAAAATTCAATAAAAATTGGACTCCAATCCATTGCTACTTGCCCAATTCAGGAAGGCCTCTATAGCATAGAGAAAAGGTTTGGAGAATCAGGAATGTGCTCACCTGTTCCTCATCTTACCACATACCAATTCCTTTCTCTGTTTCCAGGTTTCTTCTAGCCAGAGTTTGCTAGCACATCTAAATCAGGCTATGGTTCATGATAACCTTCAAACAAGGCTTTTAAGCAGGCATACAACCCGCACTATGAACATAATTATTTAGCCTTTTGAATAAGATTACATAGAATCTCTAACTAAAGGAAACCTGGAAATGGAGAAACTGGCACATGATAGGTTAGGAGCACATGGGACACATATTCCCAATGCTTCAAACAACTGTTTGGATGTCTGGAATGGATGTCACAAACAGGCCACTGAATATTAACAAAGCAACTTGGACATTAAAAGCATTTCAATATGTACAGTTAAAATTTCTCATTTATCTCCTGTTCTGTCATTTCAATGGCTGCAGTTTCTCAGGGCACATATAAAACCTTGGGCATTAGTACATCCAATAAATGAAAAGTGAGTACAAGCAAAACACATCCATTGCCTTTTTATTATTATTACAAATGTACTGACCAGTTGGCTTCAAAAAGATCTACCTATTTAGGTATGCCAGTACAAAGTAAAAAAGGCTATTTTACAAATTAAATAAAAACTGCCAAAAATAGTATTTTAATGGAAAACAATTATAAAATACTGCAACCCCATTGTGGGTATTCCAACCATTGTTTGAATTATTTATTATTTCCAACCTATCAGAAGTCAGGGTGTATATTTTTCCATGCAGAATAGGTAGGATTTGTTAGTGCCTTTTTAACAAAATGTAGATAGCAAACTAACAGCCATAATAATATATACATTCACTAGTGCATATATATATTATATACTCTTAGTCTCTCTCTCTGTGTGTGTGTGTGTGTGAGTGTGTATTGTACACTATTAGTGAATAGTAGTGGATACAAATCCCATTTGTTTGTTAGCCAACTACAGTATACAACAGAATGCACAGCTTAAAAGGGACATGGCTGATCAAAGAAGTGGTTTCAATGCTGTTTTGAAAGCCAAATATGTAATTGTTTTCAAAAGAAGTTATTGGCCTACGACAGGCACTTCTAACGTTTCTTTGCTGCTTGATATGGTAGTTCTTTGTACAGTAAACAGATCTATTACATTTTACAAAGTTCTGAGAAGGTGGTTCTGTTTTGTAGTACTTCTTAAAGAGACCTACATAGCGCAAGCTGCAACTCCTGCAAGAATACTTTAAAAAGTGACACTGTCAAGTATTTTTCAGTTAAATGTTTACATTTTCACAAGTTTCCCACCACCAGTATGCAAGGCTTGCCTTTGAACTTGAAAATATTCTTACCTCAACCCTCAATCATTTGTTTAGTAAATGCTGGATTCCCTGTTCATTTCTTCTGGTAGTCAAATTCTATAATTTCTTCCCTATTCAATTATTTTATTTTTATTACTTTAGCTCCCCCTCTGGCTGAAAACTGCATTTTACAGCATAAAACAATAAAGAGGCATGAATCAACAGTGTCTAATTTTTAATGTGTTTATTTAATTTCTCAGACAGAGCAATTAAAAAAAAAAACATGTGGACTCAAAGTAAGGACATTATTTGCCATGCTGTAATCACCTGAAAGGGAGGTCATGTTTTAAATGTTAAGTTACTTGACAGTGTCGCTTTAGCTTAGAAAGGAAAACAAAAACAGACTATGTTTGTATTGCAGTAGATTTCAAGTTTTCTTGCACTTCATATAAAGTAGCATTATGAGCTTGGATCTTTCCTACAAGACACTGAAAACATTAAGGAAAATAAGGCATGTTTTCCAAAGGTGGATTGCTTGGCACATTTGAGCATACTGTTTTTTGGAACACCAAATATGGTCAAATATACCTCTCTCTTTTTTTTTAATCCCCTGACCTTAAGACAAGGTCTTTTCACTGTTGCTCATTGTAAACAGTGAGCTGCACAACCATGGTAAAGAACTGAGCACCTCAACTGGAAAAAGTGAAACCCAAAACAAGGTCATTTATAGTCAACATAACATATTATGACTATTAATCAAGTCAATGCACAATATCTACAGTGTGCATGTAAATCACAACGTTGAGACTTAGGACGCAGAATGCTGCTGAAACTGTGGTAATTAGCAGACCATACCAGGACAACTGCATAACCCACACATCAGGCTGACCTACTCAGATCAATGGTAAGATTCTCAAATGTGTGAGTCAAGTAGAGTTCCTTTTCATGCATTTTGATTCCCAGAAAAAGAAAATAGGCAAAATGCTGATTCTATTGATTCCAATGACTAAACCAATCTACATGTTGGCTGGAATCAGACAATAGGTTTTCAGAGAGTAAAAAGTGATTTGAGAGAGTCACTGTTTGCAATATGTATGCGCATTCCACTTTGGCCTCTTAATTAAAGAGGTGCTTGTTTTGTTCTATGAACCTGCAAAACTAACCCTTTATCAGAGACAATAGTGGGATAAAATAGAATATAGTTTCATATCATGAGACAAAACACTTTCAGCTCTTCTGAAGACAATTGTTTATGTCCAGCCAAAAACTGAATAAGGATTTTGCTCTTTAACAAAGTTTATATTAATTCAAAGAGAATAAAGACACTTTGCTGTACACCGACCTACACAAGTTATTGCTAAAAAAATAAAAAAATCTGCCAATCTGCAGTATTGCAACTTTTAAAACTATAATGAATAGTAGAACCGAGACAACCAAATAGCAGAATCTAAGCAATTTAAAACTTTCCTAACTACCTGTAGCATGGAGAATACAATTCTTTCACCATTCAAATGCAGTATTAAACTGCTCAAACTCTCCAATTAAAACAAAGAAGGCTTACCAGTCAATGTTTACATGCAGTCAAAAACCATTTCAGTTATCACATTACGCACCATGGAAGCTTATTTTTGCTATATGGAAAAGTGCACCTTAGAAAGTAATGTAATAAATTCCAGTGATTCTCAAAACAAAAATTTCTAACCACTATAACATTATTGCACATGTGGTGCTCTATGGACACCAGTAGCAAAATTGTTAAACTGGAAATGGATGATACAACGGAAACAGATTTTATATTGACACTTAACAGTGCATCTCCAAAAAGGGAATTATACTTTAATGAAAACAGAAAATACATTTCCTTTGAACAATCTCTTTGTCTTTCCTAGGCCCGACCTCTTACAATCAATGAGAAGCTTAGAAAGTCTCTTTCCTACTGGTAGCATCTTCAACATACAGCAGTTAAATCTAAATTGTTAAATTTGTCAGGGTGTTAAGAAAATGAATACACTCCAGATCTCAAGAATCACACAGATTCTTATATTGTTGACTGTTTCTACAGAATTCCAACTATTTTTCCTACTGTTTTAAGGCATCATTTATAACATATTCTTTTCACTTGCAATGATGATAGTCATGCAGCAGTTTAATGATAAAAATATATTAATATTTTACTATACAGCAGCAAGAAGTTAGTCAATTAAAAGCACACAAACATTTTAAAAGAAAAACCTGTAAAAGTATATTACTACAAACAATTGCAATTTGGAGAACACTACTTGACAGATTAGTGTTCTGACAGACTGTTTTCATACCCTACAGTTCTGATATAATCACACAAAGTACATACTTTTAACTGAAGGGTTGGGGAACTTGCACAGTTGGGGGAGGGGCAGGGTATCCTTACTACATGTATAAAGTATGTAGCCAGTAATAACTAGCACCACAGCTACATTAAAATTTCTTTTACAGCACACCAACTTGGCTTTCACTTTTAAAGGAAATTCAAAATCCATGGCTCAGTAGGATTACTCTATAATCATGTTGCATTGACTTCCATGACAGGCCTATATAAATTAGTTAGCACTAGCACAAAACAGGAGTTTCAATTCAGACTTAAACAAGTTAAAGGGACAGTGCTAGTGGCCACACACAGGAAAAGAAACAAAAAACCTTCACCGCCTGTTATTCAAAAACAGGTTTACTGGAAATTGCTGCACGTGAAGTACTTTAAGTACACATCATAAAAAAAATATATTATGAACAATACAAGTACATCTCATATACACAATAAGGACAATATACCTACTTAGTTGTAAACCAAATAGGTGCAGAAAAATATGGGAGATCATCTCTCTCTCTCTTTCTCTCTTTCTCTTTTTAACTATTTGAATAACTTTGGTTCAAACCATAAAAATCACAAGTTAGCAAATTTCATTTAAATGCCTTTTTAATAATTTTTCTTCATGTTCACAGAAGTTTCACTGACCATTTTATATGTTTAAGGTCCAGATGCAATGCATATTGTATAAAAGAGAGCACTTATTGTTTACCTTGCATGAATTAAACCTACGTACCTTTTAACTCTACAGACTTCTGCATAACATTTAGACAAAGCTCAGACACACAGCATGCCTAGCCCTCATATATATATACACATCTCTAATCACAGGTATATAGGGTGTCAAATATACTATAATAACCTTCATGTAAGGTTTTGAAATTTGGTAACAAAATGAGAAGAAAAACTAAAAATATTATTTTACGTGTTCTAAAATATCTCTTTTTGTGCTAAAGTCAAATGTTAGCTCAACATGAAAAGGACATTTTCTCTTTTTAATATAATTCAGCAATATTTTAATCTTGACCATTTTTGCAAACACTTTTTTTTTAATAATAATAATAATAGCTTAAACGTGTACAAAAGTTCTTGGTTAATTAGGGAAATAAACACTCAGTTCTTTATATTTTTTAATCAAGTAGGAAACACAGTTCATCATATATAATGTTATTACTTTTTTTGTAATTTTTTTGTTTTTTTGTTTTGTTTTTTTTGTTTTTAGCAGCTGCTTACTGTTTTATACGATGGGCAAGAGTGGAAGGAACAATCCAGCGATGGGGTGGAGAGAAAGAAGTTGCTTGCTCGGCTGTCAGTTTTGGTGGTGGGTGGGTGGTCGGTGGTGCTCCCCTTGGAGTTAGAACAACAGGTATATTTAACTGCATGTATTATTTTCAGTGTGTGGATGTCGGTTTTCTCTCTCTCGCTCGCTTACAGTATAACGTATCTCTCTCTCTGTGTGGCGATGTTGTTGTTGTTGTTGTTTGTTGTCGTCGTCGTCATTATTATTATTACGAGTGTCTCTGTGCAGCAGGGCAGGGAGGAGGCAGCCAAGTGGGGAGGAGGAGGAGGAAGGCAGTGGGGAGGAGGAGGAGGAGGAGGAGAAGGAAGGAGGCAAGGAGGGATGGAGATCAATCCTCCTCCGGCTCCTCGGCCTGCAGCAAGGCTCCCGGCGGGCCGGCGGCGGCGGCGACGCTGCTGCTGCTGCTGCCCCCCTCGGCCTCGGGCGGCTGCTCGGCTCCCCCGGAGGAGGGCGAGGAGGCCGCGGCGGTGGCGGTGGCGGCGGCGGCCCGCTTGTCCCTCTGCTTCTCCTGGATCTTCTTCATCTCGTCCGAGTACTTGCAGAAGGTGTGCCCGAACTTGGCCCACACCTTGTAGGGGACGGTGATGGAGTTGCGGTAGGTGGGCTTGACCTCGCTCACCCGCATGAAGACGCCGTACTTGTTGGAGCCCACGTCGAAGAAGAAGCGCTTGTTGTCCACCGTCAAGGAGGTGCCCTCGGGCAGCTCGGCCGGCTCCTCCTCCACGCCGTAGTCGTCGATCAGCTTGGCCAGGGCGTCGCGGAACTCGATCAGCCCCTGCGCCGGCAGCGCGATGGTCTGCCCCTGCGTGGAGCCCAGGCCCGGCCCGCGGTTGACCGTCTGCCGGATGCGCAGGAACCGCCCGCGCTGGTTCTCCTTCAGATCCATGTAGTACTTGCGGTTCTCGCGCACCAGGAACTCGCTCTTGAGGGCCCTCCGCGGCTCGTCCGCGGCCTGCGCCAGCTCCGGCGGCTGGCTGGGGCCCAGCTGCGCGTAGTGCTCGATGAAGTCGCCCAGGTAGTCGCGGAACTCCACCGCCACCGACATGGAGAGCGTCAGGCGGCTCTTGCTGCCCCCGGCGCCCACCTCCGCGATCTTCAGGAAGCGGCCCTTGGCGTTCTGCTTCACGTCCAGGTAGAAGCGCTTGTTCTGGATGTCCACCCGCTTGGAGGCCAGCTCCTGCGTCTCGTGCTGAAGGCCCACGCCGCCGCCGCCGCCGCCACCGCCGCCCGGGCCCGGAGCCCCGCCGCCGCCGCCACCCTGCTCGCTGCCGCTGTCTCTGTCCGCCATGATGCTGCCGCCGGGCCTCCCGAAGCCCGCCTGCGCCCCCCGGCCGCCGCCTCCGCCTCCTCCGCCTCCCGCCGCCGCTACTGCTCCTGCTGCCGCCGCCGCCGCCGATCCAACCCCCTCCGCAGCCGCCGCCGCCACCACCAGCAGCAGCAGCCAGCCGCTCTCGCGAGATCTGTGGAGGAGACAGAAAGAGAGAGAGCGGCTAACATGGCAGAGAGAGAGAGAGGCGCGCGCGACTGTGTACAGTAGCCGGGAAGGGAGGGAGGGAGAGAGAGAGTGAGGCGGCGGGGGGGGCGGGCGGGAGGGAGGGAGGCGGCGAAGGAGCCCCGGGATGTGAGGCGGCCACCGCCGGCAGCGCCCCGCCGCCCGGGCCGGGCGAGGGCACAGAGGAACAGCTCGCTTTAGTGGCGCTCAGGCCCCACCCACCTGCCCCTCCGCCCGGCGCCCTCGGCTGCTCCTTCCAGCCCCTCAGAGGGACCCGCGCGGATCCTCACGCCGCCGCCGCCGCCGCCCGTCAGAGGGAGGGAGGGACAGACAGACAGACGGAGCGGCTGCCAAGCTCCGTCCCCCCTTTTCTGTCACTCGCCTCCTCGCGCGCGCACTCGCGCCGACCGGCGAGCCCCCCCCCCTCTCTTCCACCCCATTAAAACAGGCTGAGAGGGCGACGCAGACACGCGCCGAAATAGCCCCGAACTGACCGGCGTCCGCGGGGCTCCCGCCGTTTCCCCTCAGGCGGCGTCTCTCACGCGCTTCTCCGCATTTCTCCTCAGCCGCTCTTTCCCTCCGCGCACCTCAGGCGCGGGACTGGGACGGAGGGCTGGCGAGGGCCTCCCTCAGTGACACGAGTAGCAATAATAGTACTGTAATGAAAAGTGCCCGGAAGAAGGAGGGAAAAACAGGGGCAGGGGGGGGGCGAGAGATCCTTCATGAGAATCGCCTCCAACCCGGGTTGGAAGATGCCGACGTGCCTCGTCAGTGTCCGTGGCCGGCGAAGAGGAAGGAGGAGCCTCTTCCATCTTTCCACAATAAATATGCTATAGAGTCAATGCCACACAACTTTTTGGGGATTTCGCTATGCCTGAGACAGAGCGGCGGGAATTCCCGCCCGCCTCAAAGGTCCGGTCCGGACAGCGGCAGCTGACCCCTCCGGCCGCCCCCCTCAGAAAGGGCGACTCCGGCTCCGCAGCAACTCCGGCGCCCTTTTGCGGGCCTTGCTGGCGGGGAGGCAGGCCGCGCAGGGAGGAGGAGGCCGGCTCTGGACCCCACGCAAGAGCTTCGCCTGGAGTGGAGGTTGCGCAGCTAGGGCTCCCCTCGAAGTTAGAGGCCGCTCCCGGGCCTCCTGACAGCCATCCCGGGAAGAGGGAGCTGTTCTGTGGCCAGGCCTGCCCCTGAATTTCCTCCTCCGGCGAGGTGGGAAGAGGCAGATTCAGGACTCGGCAAACTTCTGTTCTGTTGCTCCTGCGCAGACCATGCTGGCAGGCCTGGCCCGCCACCCCTTCGCTTGCCTGCACTGGGGCGAGGGCGGCCTTTGGGCGGGATGGCATAGAAGTCAGAAGAGCGTTATAAACGTAGACATTAGTCCAGCAAATTTAGTGGGATTGTGGGCCTGCAAGGGCGGCCTTTTCACTGGAGGAACCGCTCTGCGTTGTGACGAGCGTGGCTGGAGATCGAGCAGATCCCGTTTTCCGTTTCTCAGCCGGGCTGGTTCTGCGGGCATCTATCGCCGCGCCGTATTTCTGCACAACCGGCGAAAATCAGGCCTGCCTGCGACGGGACGGGGGGGACACACGAGAGTCTCCATTTGGAATAGGAACGGAGAGACTCCCCAGGGCCGCTCTCTCTGCCTTTCCAGGCCTTGCTTCCTAAGGCTTGAATGCTAGGCCTTCCCCGCAGACCCGAGGAACTGCAGATCTCGGGGTGCAAACTGCAGGCGCGGAAAGGACCGAGCAAAGAACCAGCCACCGCCATCGCGGAGGACTCTGGATACCCGGGAGCTGCAAGGCGCGCATTTTACGCACCGGCTGCACTGATGGAGTGCGCGCGCGGGGAGGGGATGAGCTGCCCATTAGGGGAGCCCTTGTCCCACATACAGTGGTACCTTGGGTTAAGTACTTAATTTGTTCCGGAGGTCTGTACTTAACCTGAAACTGTTCTTAACCTGAAGCACCACTTTAGCTAATGGGGCCTCCTGCTGCCACCGCGCCGCCAGAGCACGATTTCTGTTCTTATCCTAAGCAAAGTTCTTAACCCGAGGTACTATTTCTGGGTTAGCAGAGTCTGTAACCTGAAGCGTCTGTAACCCGAGATACCACTGTCCTGCCCCTAGGTAGCCCCCCTTCTTCTGCCACCCGTTTTGCGGATCCTTGGCTGCGCGAAGTTCGTTCCCTCGCACCGGATTCCCTGGTCAAGAGCCGACGTGGCTCCCCGGGCCTTTCCCTTTCCTCGCCAGCCGCGGCTCCTTCCTTAGCCGAGGGACCAGGTGAGCGACGGGGGCGGCTCCCCTCCGTCTTTCGTTTGCTCCTGCAAGCAGGGCTTGGGGCGCGAGAGGCGGAGCTTTGCAGAGCCCAGCTGGGAAGCTGCTTTCTGGCCGGCGAGGGAGCTGCCTGCAGGGCTTAGTCCCGCGGGCTCAAAGCGGCGGCGACGACGGGGGGACCTGGCTGCGCCTCCCCGCTTGCCGCGCGGCCCCCGCTTTCCTCGGCCACGTGTCAAAGCATCCTCAAGTGCAGCCCCGTCCCCTCTTCCTCCTTTTCGCGACCCCAAGCAAGGAATCCAGAAGGAAGCGTTGCTTTCCCTCGGGCAGAGAGGCAGCCTTGGGCTCCACCCGGTTTTGCTCAAGCCAAATGGGAAGAACTCGAAGAGAAGCGCATCCCCTCGCACCTGCAACCATCCCTTGCTCAGCAAGCGAGTCCTCGGTCCTTTCACTTCGCATACGCGCAACGCGCATTCTGCCCGCATTTATTTTTTTAACCCGACGGGTCCTTAGACGACCAGTTTGAGATGAGACCCAGTTCTCATGCCGCTGCCAGCTACTTGAGAAGCATGGACTAAAACGTAAAAACCTTGCTGATAGAAGAAGATATGCCTGCGTGTTGCGGGAGGGAAATTACTGGAAGGAAATGTAGTCCAGGTTTGGAATCCGAAAGTCCCCCTTCATTGTAAGAGCAAAACATTAAAGAAGATTTTATGGCCAAAACAACAGCGATTCATTGTTGAATTTTAAACAAAGTAGGCGAGCCAAAATGAAATAATTCGGGTTTGCGTTTCACATCAAATTTGTGACATCTAGAGCTATTTTAGTGTGTGTATATATTTGTAGAAGATTTTAAATCTGGTTAGTTCATACAGCTAACATTCCATTTTAATTTCTAAGTAATATTTTCTACCCATACAGTTCCATTTTAATAGCTTTGATTGTAACTTCTTTATTTTTCATAAAATAAATCGCAGGCTCTGAGAAATACAGTTGACAACTAAAAATAAAGTGAATGTAAAAATTGTTGTCTACTCTTGGGGGGAAAACATCATAGATTTCCAGATAAAAGTGTGTGTTCATTAAAATCATTAAAAATAATCCTTACATGTGTATAAATCATGTAGTTCTCTATACATTTAGTTTGCTAAAGCTGCTTAAAATAGATTTTCAAGGCTTTTAGCACATAACAGCAATTGTAAAACCTCCCCTAGAATTTTTTATTGAAGCTTTACTGAAATTCCAGTGTAGAAATATTCCATTATATGACTAAAGCTAACATACATCTGCTACTTATGAATATTCTATTATAATACACTTAAAAACTAGCAAGTCTATCAACTCCTACACTTGCTGTGGAAACAGGTGTTGAGATTTCACACTCATTTTAATCAAATTAGAAGCAGTTTATCTTTTGATTTTTGCTAAGTTAGCAAAACAATGAATTCAATGAGACTTCTGAGTAAGAATGACATAGTTAATTTATTAATCTAATTACAAAATTCAATGCTACACAACTAGATCTTTAAAAAGTAGGATGTAAAAAGTAAAGCACATACAAGCAGGTATTCAGATGTATTTATTTATCATAGAATCATAGAGTTGGAATAGACCACAAGGGCCATAGAGTCCAACCCCCTGCCAAGCAGGAAACACCATCAGAGCACTCCTGACATATGGTTGTCAAGCCTCTGCTTAAAGACCTCCAAAGAAGGAGACTCCACCACACTCCCTGGCAGCAAATTCCACTGTTGAACAGCTCTTACTGTCAGGAAGTTCTTCCTAATGTTTAGGTGGAATCTTCTTTCTTGTAGTTTGGATCCATTGCTCCATGTCCGCTTCTCTGGAGCAGCAGAAAACAACCTTTCTCCCTCCTCTATATGACATCCTTTTATATATTTGAACATGGCTATCATATCACCCCTTAACCTCCTCTTCTCCAGGCTAAACATGCCCAGCTCCCTTAGCCGTTCCTCATAAGGCATCGTTTCCAGGCCTTTGACCATTTTGGTTGCCCTCCTCTGGACACGTTCCAGAGGAGGCATATAAGGTATATACATTTTTTTAAAAAACTATTTTAGTTGCCTCATTTAAAAGCATCATAATTATGGCATGCAAGTTGGCATTTAGTGTGATTTCAAAAATAATGAAGAAAAATTAAATTCTTTGAAACTTCCACAAGACTATGACTGCATATGACTCAACAAGAAAACAAAGTAAATATTTGCTCACTTTTAAGTAAACAGGGGAAACGACCAGCATAAAACTCTGCATGGAATAAAACAACAAATGTTAAGCAACATTTTCATTTTTTTAAAGAGCTCACAGTTACTTTTGAAGCTTCAATAAAACTAGATTTCTCAAAGGAACTTTTCCCCAGATCAACCAATCAGTGTGCAAATGAAGAAGAAATGCAAGGAGAATAAAGGGGCTCAAAACACACTGACATCCAAAGGCTTAGGAAGCGATAAATTTAAAACAGAAGAAACAGCCAATCAAAACCTTTTCATCACTACTAATAAAAAGTTAACAATTGTTGAAAATATTGTGTACATGTACATTGTCAGCTTAGTTGAAACAAAATACTTGA